AAAATCATTGGTCTTATTGATAACAAAAAGAAAGTACATTAACTTTATTTATGATTAGTTCCTTATACGCTAAGAAGCAGAGAAAAGAGATGGAGGGCACTATAGCTTTTATTGGTGGCCAATAGAACCTTTTTTTTCAAATGAAAAATCAAAATTTGAAAACAGATCAACTAAATCGGTTGGAGAAAATATATATCATACCTAAATAAGTGACCCTCTCCCTAAAAAATCCAAATTGAAATTGACCTAGCAAACAAGAAGGAAAGGTTCACTTTGTCATGTGGTCTGGGAGGCCAAGACATGGCTCATTAACAAGTCTTTTGTTGTTTATGGTCACTGTCCATCTCCTTTACTTCCCTTCTCTCTTGCTGATAGCTGATACCATAAGAGTTCACTTTCCCAGACTCCCCTATATTTATATTTTTGGTTGTTAATTTGTTAATATTAGTTCGTCTTCTTCCCAAAAAAAAGGATTAACAGTTTTTGTAGTTTGTGTAAACTGCAACACAAACTGCAAAGCTGTTGGATTTTTACTCATTCAAAATACAATGTTTATTTTCAGCTATCCTCCCACCATGCGATGGCAATGTCCTTGCACACAGGTACTTAAAATGCATAATTAAATTTATTTTTCTCAGGACATCAACCTCCCAGAAGGTGACCAACTCCAAAATAGCATTATAGAAACTAGAACTCATCATCTAAGCACTTCTTTTTCCAGCTTTCTGTTACAGAAGCGACTTAATGTCGTTGGCTATGTATTGGGCATCAAAACTTGCTCCATTAAAACCCTGTCCCTGACAATCAAGCGCAGTATAACCCATTCTTTCCTTTCCAGTGGTTAGGGAAACTGTTCTTTGTAAACCCATCCACATTCAGCAAATAATCACCCCTGCCCAATACAACAAGAAAATGGTCCTGACTCATTCAAATAGGAATTGTAATAAATATTATATAATTTTTAATTTTAAATTAAGTAATGAATACACGTAAATAAATTTTAAGTAGCCATATAAACTCTAGTTTAAACTCATTTTTTTATAAGACTTGATACTAAACGTTAACTCAAATAGCCTATAAGTTAGTCATAAACTACTTTACTCGTTAATAGTACTACATACGTTATAAATTTAGTAAGTAATTAGTGTATAATTAAATCCAAACTTTTTCCATTCTTTTCATTTAAACCCATTATAAGTTAGGGGAAAACAAAAAAAAAAAAAAAGCAACAAAAAAACTCATTACCTCTTTTAATTTAAAGATTTGACATCTTTGAATAATTGGATCGAAATAAAGTTTTTCTTAATCTCTCTTTTTTTACATAGAGAATTATTAATACTCCAATAGTATTGAGTCATATAAAAATTTCACAATGATTTATTGTCAAAATAGTAGTTTATGATAAGTTTTCAATTTTTAACTCTATTTTATATATACTTAAATATTCAAAAATGATAAATATGGATTTACTAGAACTCAAGTTAACTATATGTCAAATTAACCAATAATGAAATAAATTAAGCTAAATAGAAATTATGCGCTAATTTTTAAAGCATTAATTGACATACATGATTTACATGAACAAAAATTTTAATCTAATAATTAATTTTTAAAATATTAATTAAAATATGAGAAATGACAAATGGTTTATGCACTTAATACCCATCCACTATGTAGGAAAGCCAATCAAAAATTATCTTGCAATTAA